CGAAAAATCGTCTCGGCCTTTACTCAGTTCACCCGGTTGAAAAGCAGTTGATAGCAAAACCTTTCTCTAAAATTGTTCTAGGAGTTTCAAAATTTTCAAAAGGGATTAACAACTGCTAGACCAACATATCCCTTATATATATGTGTCGCCCTAGCTATTAGGGTTTTTTAATCTGAAATTAATTAAGAGTATAATTACATTAGTTTAATTAAATTCAGTATTCATGTGTAATTGAAATTACTCACATATATATATATATATATATATATATATATATATATATATATATATATTAAATACACATTTTATTCATGTACAATCAAATTGTACATATGTGACACATTTATAAGTTGCTCTCTTTTTTCAACCATTGTGACCTTATAGGTTCCTGTAACGTTAGTAGTAATAATTAGAAGTATTCTAATATTATAAACAATGAGTGACATCTAGCAATATGTCATTATTACCTAAGTTACAAGAAGTCATGATTCGACACAATATGTCTGTGACTAACTCTTTTAATGAATTATATACTTTTGTCCTTTATATCTAGAATAGGCACAAGTCTTGGAATAGTCACACTTGTGTAGCCCATTTATTATTTCTTGATATCTAGAGTAGACAATAATAAGAGATTAATTTGTGATATCTCATATCAACTTATTTGAGCATGGTCATGCATTTCTAGTCTCAAGCAATCAAGTGACCTATGATATATTTCCTATTATGTAGGAAGGACAAATCATATCTCGATCATTCATACCTCACTACATATATCGTGATATGTTCAATGTCAGTCTTTATAGTGCAACCAATTACTGAGCATGTTTATCTGTATGAGATACTAATGATCTCTAGTCTAAGGATTATACATATAGTTGTCACTATGAGCAATATCGTGGCCATCACATAATAATTCAAGACATATGCTCATAGCAGGTCAATCCTATATTGTTCTCTAACAATATATTCATGTATTAATTTTGACATCTCTATATCAATGACAACTCATTGTCATCAATCAATAACATGTTAGCCTTAAGCGTATTATTACTATCCATGCCCATAATAATACTTTACTAAGGATCTTTTAAAAATAATCACATTAATATATGGACATTATTATCTTTTAGTTTATTTAATGCACAGAAATACAATAAAAGTAAACAACGGTAATGCCTTTATTTGATAAATATGTAAATAAAATATGTTAAAATACATTGGTCCTTTATTAATATATTGGTCTTTGGGCATACTCTAATAGTACATATGCTTCTATTTAGCACTCGACGAGACTCGCGTACCTGATATTCTTAGTTAAAATACATTGGGTTATGATTTAAAATATATGAACGAATTTATATAGTTTGAATATGGAAAGCACAAGAAATATAAACGGATTTATAACAAAAGCCTCATCGAATACTTGAATTGTTTTTGCATATTTTATAGGTAAAATTACTTTGAGATGTTTATAATATGCATATTTTACTATTATTTTAATAATTTTCTATACTGTGATTTTATATGATATTTTGATTATTATTTGGTTTTATTTAAATTACCTAATGCCTCACTAAATGAAAACTTAGCTTGTGATTGTTTCACACGTAGGTGCAAGTAAGCAAGCAGAGTAAGGAGCGTAGTGGGCATCTCTTTTTGTGGAATCTAATTTGCCTCCAATATCAATAAGAACATCATATGGTGTTGCTTTTGACTTACATAGTGGCATGTATATTAAAGAAGTTTAATTTGCTATGATATTAAGGATTTAAATATAGTTTTGTAATATAAAAGTTAGTATTGTTTAAATATAGTAATATTAAATATAATTAGTAGTATAAATGAATAGTCACTACAAGAAAATATATCTTTAATGACACACGAACGATGACACGCGCTAATTATTGACTTGCAAAAAATGTGTCATAAAAAATGTCATGTTTTTTAAAATCTGAACAATTTATGACTTACAATAATGTGTGTCATATTTAATAGTCATAATTCAAAAACACGGAGTATACTTTTAATTGTGCGTTATCTATAAAAGTAGTATTTTAATTCCTCCCCCATTATTTTCATCATTTCCCGCTTCTTCCCTTGGTCTCCTCGATAATCAGTTCACGCACGCATATGCTTCCCCCTTTTTCTCTTTTTCCCTCCTACACTTGCTTATTCGTTTTATTGATTGAATCCCAGTACGCTTTCTTTCCTTGCTTCCTTCCAAGGTTTATTCATTTTCTTTTTTGAACATTTATGGGGTTTAACTAAAATTTTGTTATCCTTTCTTTTATAGAGATCTGATTTATGGGTTTTGCTTGTCTTTATGGCAGTTTTAATGGGTCTTATAATGGGTCAATCTCCATTTCTTATCTTCTACTACACGAATATTTATATAATTGTTTCCTTTGGAATTGAAGTTTGATTCTTTCTTCGTAATGCTAAAAATCTGGATTTGAGTTGAGTTTTTGACGCAGATCTGTTGATTTTTTCATTAGATTCACGAAGTAGTTGTCATTTTCATGATTCTCATTGTTTCAATTCAATGAAAAAAGCATTGTTTCTTGCTTTTACTGCTTTTTCATGGAAAAATCCTTTTCATTGCTTGGCTGTCAATCAACTGTTTTTTCTAATGGGTTCGGTCCGGATGGGGATTTATGAATCTTCTTCATTTCAACCTGTTTTTCACCGCAACAAGGATTTTTTTAGCTAATGGATTTAGTTATACTAGCTAGATAAATACAACAATTTTAAGCTGAAAGAGATTACACGATTCTTACCCAGGTAGGTAATGCATTTCTAGCACATGGTCTCGATTAGGCCTGTAAATGAACTGAACGTTCAACAAACCGTTCATGAACCGTGCGGCGGGAAGTTCGTTTATGTGCGTTTATTTATTAAATGAACGAACATGAACAAGATTTTTGTTCGTTTAATTAAATGAACAAACATGAACATAGGTCTCGTTCGTTCATTTACGTTCGTGAACGTTCGGTTATGTTCGTTTGGTTATGTTCGTTTATGTTCGTTCGATTATGTTCGTTTATGTTCATTCATTTATGTTTAACACAATCTTCTTAAATCAATTTTGGTGACCAATTTGTAAGTATCTTAAAAATATTAATCTGATATTCTGATGACCAACTCCATAATTAACCCAATTTTATTTGGAGATTAAATCCAATATGTTAACATGTGAGACACCTCGCACTTATATTCATTTCCCCCCTTTTTTTCCCAAATCTTATTGTTCACTGGAGAGTGGAGACGATCTCTGAAAAATTCAAAACAAGTTATATTATAGTGCAATATGAAGTTTTACAGGTCTGTTTTCATCTCTTTCTCTGTTTTATTTGACTTAATAGTTGATATGTAAAGTTATTGTGGGTATCTTCACATCTAAAACTCAAGAAAACATAATACTTCTTTCTAGAAATAAATGGGAAGATAAATGTAAAAATCGGAAGTATATGAGCATCAGTAAAAAGAAAAATATATAGAATTTGCCAGAAAACAAAACAAAGATTTCTATGCAATTTTTGAAAAAGAGTGTAATAGCGGAAAATGATTGTTCATATGTAATCATGGAACACTAAGATAAATGTTATAGCGTTAAATTAAAGTCGTGTGAATCATTTAATATCTTTAAAAGATCGATCGAAATATTTGATATCTTCAAACATTTCATCACTGCTAATAAACTCTTACGCTATTTATCACTGTAGATTTGGTTGATTTGCATTGTCGACTATTTTTCATGAAAGAACAATGGAAGGTAGGGTCTCCAACGTTTATGTTCGTTTATGTTCGTGTTCATTTATGTTCTTGTTCGTTTATGTTCGTGTTCGTTTATGTTCGTTTATTTATTAAATGAACGAACATGAACAAGTTATATTCCTTAATAAACGAACATGAACAAAAAAAAATTTGTTTGTTTATGTTCGTGTTCGTTTATGTTCGTTTATTTATTAAATGAACGAACATGAACATACCTTCGTTCGTGTGCGTTCGGTTCGTTTACAGGCCTAGTCTCAATATTAGGCTTCGAGGTCTAAACTTGAAGTGAACTGTTGGCACTATAGGAAAAAACATTAATGCATTACAATTTAGAAACTACATAAGTTTGTAAATGTGCTTGCTGTAGGTGTATGATATACGTTGAATGCTTTAAACAATTGAGAGAGAGAAAGAAGGTTGCCTGATTCAATGGCTTGAACATCGATTTGGGAGCCCTCGGGTTGAGAATCTATAAGCAGGAACCATGCTAGTAGAAGAATGTAAATTAGAACTTGGCCTCTCATCTTTATGTAGGCGGTGCAATATTTTTGCGTGTTTTAGTGTATTTATAGGGTGGTGTTTTGTGTATGTAGGTGCAGGGTGATCCTATGGAATTATGTACAAGATTGTTAAGATTTAAAAACTGTGTTTCTAGTGATTGTGGGTTGACTTCTTCTAAGCTATCATTTCTCATTTATCAATGCATCCATGATATTAGCACTTGTTGAGTGCTTTGTATCTTGCTGTCGGCATTGACTGTCGGGACCCGCCACCAAATATTTAGCTCCTGAATTGTTTTTATTGTTTCAAAACCAAGTTATTGTGTGTTGATACTTTGCAAATTTTTACTCCCGCCATTGCATGTTGAATTTTTTTTGAAGACTTGGTTTAGTAGGTAAGTTAAAGCAACATTTTGTTATTTGATTCATGTTAGCAGTTTTGTAACGAGAAAATTAGGTCTGGTGAAGTCACTGTCTTCAATCGTTCTTGTATTTATTTTTTTTATAAATTACAAATGTTCGTGGATTATGTTCCTACCAAAGTTTTCAGGATCACATATCGTTGTTAATAAGTTAAAAAAAGATAATCCCTGAGTCCACTATTACATGTCTGGTATCTTAATTCTCCGCTTCTAAGATTTGTTAATTACAATTCATATTTCAGGAAGTTCAAAACTCTGCTTTTTTTTCTTCATTAAGGCTGGTCCAATAATGGAGTCTGAAATGCAAAATGGTGTGAAAAACCAACAACCAGCGCAGAGGATACAAATATACCCATCCACTACCACTGGAGTTTCCCCCTTTTGGATAGGTGCTCAAATTAGATCTCTTTTACTCACAGTTATGGGCCTGCATTGAGTCGATACATGGTGCTTTAAATTTGATCTTTTGTTTTTCAGTTAAGTATGAAAGAGATGCTAAGAAGTATTGGGATCAGTTCTACAGACGGTATCAAGATAAAGTTAGTCCTCTTGCAGTTTTGTTGAAGTTGTTTTCACCCCTTTTTATATCTACTAAGGTCATTGTTGAGATGTTGTGTTATTACTTAAATGCACTACATCTACTCCCCAAACCTAGATTTTGGACTGGCTGTTAAATAATGTTAAATGCTATAATAGATACATAAGGTTGATGATTGAATGTTACTAAATTTCAGGTTTGTACTAGCAATGGTTGTGACAAACAGCAAGGTTCTTTTTGGGATCACTTCGAAAAGTTGCAACTTATATAGAACCACTGCTACAGAAATTTTATTATGTTCTTTGGTATAATGATTTTGAAATTGTTTAATTCCTATCGTTTCAGTTTTTTAAAGATCGGAACTACCTGGACAAGGAATGGGATCAATACTTCTCTGTGAGTCGAAGCTAACTATTTTCTTCTCTTTGTTTTTGATTTTTTAATTCTTCAAGGTTATTAGTTTCCTTTTTTAACTATTTTTTTTATTAAATCAGAGAAGCGGAAGAAAAGTTATTTTGGAGGTAAATCACTTAACATATTCACTTACATATTATCCGTTCAATATCTGTTTTGTGGTAAATAAATAGTCTTCCTACTAATACTATTTTCTTGAGTTTGAATCCGCAATAAGTTCTCTTTTAATGCTAGGTTATTTGGAAATGGACTTGTTTTAATTGAGTTTGAGTAAATGAGAATAGTGCTAACATTTATGCTTTCCCTATGAATTCTTATTTTATTCCTCTAAATGGTCTGGTAATCTTATTCGAGATGCCCTTATTGTTGAAGTGAATGGTGTGGCAAACCTTATTGAATGTTGGTCACTATATATGGTAGAACTTGACTTTATTGTTCCCTATAGTGTGTGTTAAGTAGTTCCCCTTCTTGTCTAAGGTTCTTAAATTCACATGTAAGGTTTCTATATATTATAGAACTAATATTGTGACCTTGGTAATCAGGTTGGTTGTGGTGTTGGAAATGATGTATTCCCTCTAAATGTTACATACCCAGAGATTTTTGTTTATGCATGTGACTTTTCACAACGAGCAATTAATTTGGTTAAGGTTTAGTTTCTTGTCCTAATTGCTCCATTTTTCATAATAGGAGGTTGAGTTCCTATTATTTTAAAATTCAGTATTAATAGGTATATCAGCTTGAATGATTTATTTTCCCATATTATTGTAGGCGCATAAATACTTTGATGAGACTCGTGTAAGTGCTTTCGTCTGTGACCTGGCCACTGATGACCTTAGCGAACATATTTCTCTTGCCTCTGTCAATGTTGTAACCATGGTATTTGAATAATCATTTGGATATTTCATTATCTGCCATGAGTGCTCATGTATTTTTTTCTATCGACGATGGCTGACATTATAAGTAGATTTTTGTGTTATCTGTAGTATCGCCAGAGAAGATGCCTTTAGTCTTACAGAATATCAAAAAAATTCTCAAGGTCATTGATAATATTTTTGCATAATAGCAATATTTATAAATATTTCTTATATACCTTGCTTTTAAAACTAAACTTGGTAACTTTCTTCATTTTCAAATTTTTTGTTGTCTTTCCAGCCAAATGGTCATGTGTTGTTCCGAGACTATGTTGTTGGTGACCTTTGATAAGTTTGTCTCAAATAATTTTGATTTCTATTGCAGCTAGAATTTTCTTCAATACCTTTCATGAAGACCATGAGTTGATGCACTCACGACACCTTCAAAAGTTGGAAGGGGTTCTTTCTCAGTCTCATTTGGAAGTGGAACATATTGTTCTTTCTTCCTTTTTTTTTTACTTACTAATCACTTCTATTTTTTTGTACTCACCATCAGTTGTTTCCTTAATCAGGAGATGGAATTTTCTCGTTCTCTTAGGCCGAGTAAAGTTAACATCAAGATATGTCAGGTAAAAGCCGTAAATTGTTTCTTTGGTAACTGCTAATAGATAAGAAAAGAATCTATTCGTTTCCTCATTTACTGTTGAATTTGTTGTCAATCACTTTGACAGTATTCCTATGATCTTTTGTTGCAATATTTGCATAAGGGGTCATCAATGAACACATTAACTTTCAAGGTGATGCCATTTTCATTGTTCATGTTGTTTGACTATTGTTTTCTTTGTTTCCTTGCAGTTTCTTCTGGATGTAGATGAGACTAAGGTACTTTTTGTTGTAAAATGTCTTGTAACAATTCATTATATTCCTTCAGCTTTTGAATGAATATATTTTACTTTTGTTAGTTTTTAGATGTTCAAGTTTACTTTAGTATGATTATCAAGTTACTGTGTGATTAATGGTTGAATCAGGTTTTTATTCTTTAATTTGTTTTATTTGTTCCTTGTATCGACATATGATTACAATATTTTTGATAACTTAAAGTGAATATATTGTATGCAAATGGATTGCTTATATATAATATGATATATATATTTAGTATTATGAGGCATTAAATGTGATTTAGTTTGATTATTTGTCAATCTATAATATATATATATATATATATATATATATAATTTAAGAAATACAATCATGACACATGAATGTGTGTCATCTTTTTTAATGACGTGTGCTTCAATGACACGCAATGTAAGCCATACATGCGTGTCATAAATTTATGACACAAATGTGTGTCATCTTCATTTATGACGGGGGCTTCAATGACGCGCATTACGTGTCATAAATGAGCGTCATAAATGAGCGTCGTAAATGTGTTTCATAAATGCGTGTCATAAATGCGCGTCATAGATTTATGACACACAATTACGTGTCATCTAAGATTTATGTCGGTGGCTTCAACGATGCGTATTTGTGTGTCATCTGCACCCATAGATGACGCGCAATGCACGTCATTAAAGGGGGGTTTTCTAGTAGTGAGTATTTTTATAAATTATGTTTTAAATGTTTATTATTTAAGTTTAAATATAGTAATATTATTTAAGTTAGTATTGTTTCAATCGAAAGGTATGTTGCAATGCTACGCCTCTCAGCTCAAAAATTAGACAAATGTTTTGATTAACTTCTCGGAAATACTCCACGAACATGTCTATCAAGCAATTTTAGCTTGTTTTGTCATGTAAGAACCAAGCTTTGGAACCATTTTTAACGCAATTTTTACCCCTTACAATGTCTCGTATGTGTTGATATCAGTTTCAATTTAACGATAAATTGCAATACTACGCCTCTAAGATAAAAAATTACACAAATATTTTGATTAACTTCCCATAAATACTCCATGAACATGCCTATATTAGACTCAACAAAAAGATAAGTTCAACTAAATCAAGCTTTGAAATCATTTTTTAATGCGATTTTTACCGTTCATAATGTCTTTTATGTGCCTATATTAGACTCAACAAAAAGATAAGTTCAAATACTACGCCACTAATCTTATAAATTACAAAAGTTTTCTAATTTACAACCCGAGAAAATGCCTCGAACATGCATATAAACAACTAAATCAAGGCCTGGAAATGAATAGACCTCGCATTTTGAAGACCGCGTGGTCAATCCTAATACATTAGATTTTATTCAAATTAAAAGTCACATCTTTACAACGGACCTCGCGTCTTGTATAATGTGAGGTCCTTCAATTCCTCGCTTCGAAAAGGGTATAAGGAATGTTATAAATAGGGGCCCATATGTAGGGTTTTCTCAACATATTTCAAAATGATGACTAAAAAATTGTATAGTAATAATGAGGAGTTATTCACAAAAGCAGTGTTATCGAAAATTCTTATGTATGTGGAGTTTGATTTTATCGTCGATTTCGTCAATATGCGATTGAGTTGCAAGACTTTTCACTAAGCCTCGAGCACAATTACATCTATCAAAATGTTTCAATGAAGAATATTTGTGTCATTCTGTTAACTTAAAACGAGATAAGTTTTCAATAAAGATGCAAAGCTAGTAACAATCACGAAGCATTATATAGATGAGGCATGTATAATTATTTTAATGGAAGAAACTTGGAGTCCAGTCTGCATTGTTTGAAGAGAGCAGACGATAAAGATAATATCAAGGCCACATATGTCTATAGCATTATTCTAATTTGCTCTGGTGTGAATTAAGAGATGAAGGACTTCGAACCGTGAAATCTCTCAATCTCAACAATTCTATGAAAATAAATTTAGAAGCTATTCGTTCAGAGATTAATGTTTTGTAGGCTTAATATTGTGCAGTTGTAACAACCTTGCCTTTCCAGAACTAATTGAATACTATAATTGTGATAACAATTGTCCACGTGCTTCAATTGACCAAGTTTGGCAACTAGGGAACACCCTCTGTACTTGTTATGATTCTTGTTTTTGGAACCATGAAGCAACTTTTTTTTGTAAGATGTTACAATAGAATGAATTTTAATTTTAATAAGTATTGACTATTTATTACAATAGAGCTTTTTTTATTATTATTATATATTTTATAATACAATAAAAATATAATGATTAATTTAACCTAGTTCATAAAATAGTTTGATATTTTTATTATTGCAATAGGGACCTCATGTTATGCATACAACGAGGTCCATTTCAAATCATGCGATAATTAAATTTGACGCTTCAAATTCTTGGGGACCTCGTGCTACGCAGAATGTGAGGTCATTTATAGAAATATTAAATTGGGTGATTTGAAAAATTCATCCACGTAGAATGTATCTCGCGGGTTGTGTAACGTAAGTTCATTTTACGTATTTTGTAGAACACGAGGTAGTCCTATGTGGACAATTTGGAGGTATTTTTCTAATTAATGTTGTTTGGGATTGTTTTGCTAAAAATGAATCTGAGTTTTTTTTAAAAGAAAAACGCCTTGAATGAAAGTAGTTTACATTTAACATTCGTAGTCCTATCCAGGGTTGCACAGAAGTCGGATTTCAATCCGATCCGGATCGGTTTTTATCCGATCCGGTTTTTTCCCATAGAAAAAAAATTGGTTTATAAAATAACCGGTTCGGTTTTTAACCGGTTTGGAGGGTCGGATATCCTAACCGGTGTAACCGGTTTCGATTTTAAAAAAACCAGTTTTTTTAAAAAACCGGTTATAAAAAACCGATTTTAATATTATTAAAATTACATCGTCATCAATTGCAACAAAGTTTACGATAATTGAAATACTTAAATACTTCCAAGTTTGATAAATTCAAATACTTAAAAACTTCCAAGTTTGATAAATTCAAATACTTAAAAACTTCAAGTTCGATAATTGAAACAAAGTTTACGATAATTGAAATAAAGTTTAAAAATAAACTACATTGCCATCTCTTCTTCATCATCTTCGCCTTCTTCGTTTGGAGGGGATATTCCAAGTTCGACTTCTTCAATGTGTAAGTTTGCTTCTAAATCGGCATCAATTGCATCTTCTAGGGTGGTGATATGTTGCTTACGAGCCGCTCCATCCAAATAATCCTTTAAACAAATGCATACTTCCACCGACTCGGGACTTAGTCTTGATCTCCGTTGCTATATAACCCTGCCACTAACAGAAAAAGCGGATTCCGAAGCTACTGTAGAAGCTTGGACGGTTAGTAAATCACGGGCCATGGCGGCTAGAATCGGAAATTGTGCTTCCTTTTCTTTCCACCAAGCCAAAATATCCAAACTTTCAAACTCTTCAAATGTCATTTTTGATAGAAAATCGCATGACATGTAATTTCCCAACTCGCTACTTGGGGTGGTAGTACGTGATCGTTTGGATTGGGAATATACAAGAGTGTTAAAAAGATTCAAATTTATGTTACTTGGACGTCTACTAGATGATTCCGCATTCATTCTCATTTGATCGTGTATTACACTACTTGATCCGTATTTAGTTAAATAAATTGCAAACATGTCTCGAAAACATTTGTTAAAATAATTTATTTGGTTTTGGACAAAGTTGGGTTCATCATCGGTTAGATTAAAAGCAAACGCAATTTGTTCAATTAGTGTTTCAACCCCGCCAACATTTAACGTTGGGTTTAAAGCGGCAGCACAAGTAAAAATGGGGGGAATCTCCTTAAAATATTTTAAAAGTTTTTCCTTCATTGCAAAGTCAATTTCTTGAAAAACTTCGGTTTCAAATTCAAAGTCATTTAGTCAGGTAGCCAACAAAAATATTTGATTAAGAACCAATGGGCTAGTAGGGTAATAAACACCGGATAAAAAAGTTGTTGCATTTTTAAAAACCCCAAGCAAATCGGTTATTTTGGCTATAGTTTCCCAACTCGAATCCGGATAAATGTTTGGGACATGACCCCTCTCAAAAAGCCGATCGTGAAATGTTTGCAATGTTTCCCTTTGCCTTAAGGCAGTATGCATCATCATCCAAGTTGAGTTCCAACGAGTTGGACAATCCAAATTAGGACCCAAAGCTTTTTTATTAACGGACTTACAAAATCGTTTATAATCATTTAGTCTTTTGTTGTTGTTACAAAGAACCGATTTTATCATTGTTTTAAATTCTAATATAATCGGCTCAATAACCTCCAAACCGGCTTGCACGGATAAATTAATTATGTGTGCAACGCAACGGGTATGAAAAAACGCACTGTCTAAAATCGGTGAAAGTAATATTTTCAATCTTGGAACCGCGTTTGTATTATTCGATGCATTATCAAAGGATATAGAAAAAACTTTATTTTCTAATTTATAAAGATAAATTACCCTTTTTAAAAGTGTAAATAAATTAGCACCGGTATGCGGCTCACCGAATAATTCAAACGTGATTGTTCTTTTCATCATTTGCCAATTATCTTGATCTAACCAATGTGAAGTAACGGCTAAAAAAGAATTTCCGGTATTATGAGGGGAACTCCAAACGTCACATGTAAGCGACACACCATAACGGTGTTCTTGGAATCCTAAATTCATTTTTTCCCTCGCCGTACGCCACATTTTTATAGCATCTCTTCTAAGGGTAGTATGACTTACTTGAGTATAACGTGGTTACATTAGTTGTTGAATTGTTGTCGTGAAATCTTCATCATCAAAGTGGTCGAACGGCAATGCTTTTGTAATCACGAACTTTGTAAATGCTTCTCGTAATTTTTCGTTGTCGTAAACAAAAACACCACCTTGCGGTGTAAGATTCGATTGACTAGGATCCGATCTTGAGCGAAGTGTCTTGCATGATTTTGTCAAATGGTTCTCCAACGTTGTGTCTCCTTCCGATGCAAGCAACTTTAGACAAAGTTTACAACGCGCCCTCCTCGAGCCATTTGACATCTCACATAAATCGTAGTGATCCCAAATATCTTTGTTTCGAGTGTGTTCGATCACTCTCACGACTTCAAGGTTTCCCCCGACGGAAGATTCAGCCGTGTTACTCATGATGAACAAAAAATTACAAAAATAAGATTTGAGAGATGTTTAGGTGTTGTGTAATAAGATTTGAGAAAGTTGTAATCAACTAAATACATCCCCAACCTATTTATACATGTTTAGGGTGGTAAAATAGTAATTTTTTAAAGAAAAAAAAGGTCAAAAACGGTCACAAAACCCTCCCAACGGCTATATTAACGGCTAGTTTTTTAAACCCAGACCGGTTTTTTTTCCAGATAAAAACCGGTTTTTTAACCGATTTTTTTCAAACCGGTTTTTTATCCGGTAAAAAAACCGGGCTAAGTTTTTTTTTCCAAACCGGTTTAAAAAAATCCGATCCGGTTAAAAAAAAACCGGTTTTTCCCAAATCCGATTTCGGATATTTTTTTCGTAAAATCGGATATTCGGATTTTTTGTGCACCCCTAGTCCTATCCATTGACTATCATATTAACACGAAACCGGTAATATCAATATCGAAGTCTACAATATTGAGAAATTTCTCAGTGGCGAAACCATACAAAGCAAAACGACTGTAGTGGAACAACAATATTTTTTGAAGATGCGGAATACAACTTTTCTCATCCTCTATATACTCGCTTCTTATCCTCTAAACTTGGGAGACTTTACTGCTACATATTTAGTTTGATTTGAACATGACCCGAGTTGATTTATCTGCCTTTTTAAGATATTGGGATGGAAATTATGATTTTTCTTTTGATCACTTCAATAGCTGTAGTTTCGTATAGAGAGGCCTTCAAAATAGAACTATGATAGGGTATTGTGATTTGCAGTAAGCATGTAATATGTGAAGATTTTTTAATTAATTTTACCCATCAAATATATCCACTTATTAAAATTATAACAATAAAATATTTAATTAATATTTTAAAGTCTTTCATTTAATTAAATTAAAATATTAAATGCAAAAATAATATTCCATAAAAGATATGCTAAGGTGAAGTGAGGATGCCCATAAATAACTAAAAGAATCAATCTATTAAACCAAATATACAGACAGCAATGCATCTCACACACTTTTCCTTATTATCATTATTATTACTATTATTATGATTATTGCTGTCTAGATGAATATGCTTGAAGAAAGTAACGTCGGCACTCATCAAGCGATATTGATTGTGAAGGAGACATAGGGATGAGCGTCGGCATCACCTCCTAAACCAGCCATCGCTCCTCCTTCATCTTCGGTCTTCCAGTATGTACTGGATTTTTAATTAGAATTGGATCAGTGTCAAATCATGGGGCCAAAACTGAACAAACTTAAAAAGAATATTGTTACTTTTTATTAATTAATTTACAGCCTTTATAAGGAGAACCAAGTACAAATAAGGAAACAATCCCTAAATATAAGTAAATTCTTAAGAATTGGAGACTAAGATTAGATTCTACTATACAAGGTAACTCCTAGGACTAATGTAAGTTTTATGTTCTTAATCTTAGGAATTCTAACACTCCCCTTCAAGCTGGAGTGTAGATATTTATCAATCCCAACTTGTCGATGAGATACTTGAATATGATTTTGCTCAAGCTTTTAGTTAGCAAGTATGCAACTTGTTGTCTGGTAAGTAGGCAGGTGATGCACACTTCTCCTGAGTTAATTCTTTCCTTGATGAAGTGGCGATCTATTTCTACATGTTTGGTGTGATCATGGTGAACAGGGTTATGAGCTATGCTGACAGCTACTTGGTTCTCACAATACATCTTTATAGGTCTAGTGTAGAGCACTTTTAGTTCTCCCATTAGTCATTGTATCCAGATTCATTCCCATATGCCATGGGATAGTGCTTGATACTCTGCCTCTGTGCTGTTGCGTGCTACAACAGACTGCTTTTTGCTTCACATCACAAGATTGCCCCCACACATAGCTACAGTAACCACTTGTAGTACGTCTGTCATTAACAGACCTTGCCCAGTTTGCATTAGTGTAAATTTCCACACTACGGTTGGCAGTTTTCTTGAAGTGTAAGCCTTTACCAGGGGCCCTCTTTAGATACTTAAAAATTCTGCAAGCAACTTCCACGTTCTTCTCTCTTGGGGCATGCATGTACTGGCTGATAACACTCACATCAAAGGCTACGTCAGGACAGGCGTGAGATAGGTAGATGAGTCTTCCTACCAGTCTTTGATATCTCCCCCTGTCGACTTCTTCTCCTTCTTTATCAATTCCCCATTTAAGATTAAATTCCATAGGAGTTTCAGCTGGTTTACACCCCAACAACCCAACTTTAGATAATAGATCAAGAATATACTTTCTTTGGGAAATGGAAATACTTGTTTTAGACATTGCTACTTCTATTCCAAGGAAGTACTTAAAGTTCCCCAAGTCCTTAAATTCAAATTCAGCACTAAGAAATTCTTTTAAACTTTCAATTTCGCTTGAATCATCCTTTTTTAATATTATATCATCCACATAAACAAAGAGGATGCAACATTTCCCGCCTTCTGAATGCTTGTAAAACATGGTATGGTCTGCATGCCCCTTGGTGTAGCTCCTACTTATGGCAAATCGGCTGAACCACGCCCTTGGAGTCTGCTTCAGCCCATATAAGGACTTCTTCAACTTGCATACTTGACCATTGCTTTCTTCAAACCCGGGTGGGAAATCCATGTATACTTCCTCATTTAGAGGAATGCATTTTTTACATCCAATTGAGTCAAAGGCCAGTCCATGTTGACAGTTAGGGATAGAAGAACTTGAATGGTGTTTAGCTTAGAAACCGGTGCGAACGTCTCGTTGTAGTCTTGGCCATAGGTTAAAGTGAAACCCTTAGCAATGAGCCGAGCCTTACGTCGGTCAATACTGGCATCAGGTTTAAACTTTGTAGTGAAAATCCATTTGCATCCTACTATCTATTTCCTAATAGGTAGATTCGAGCCTTCCCAAGTTTCATTTTCCTTGAGAGCCCTTATTTCTTCCATCACAGCTTTCCTCCACTCAACAGATTCAAGAGTCTCTTCTATATTCTTTGGTGTTTCTATATAATCAACATTAGACACAAAAGCTTTATAAAACTTAGATAAGTTTTCATAAGACACAAACTAAGAAATAGGGTGTTGAGTGCAACTTCTTTTGCCCTTTCGAACTGCAACTGGTAGGTATATGGATGACGATAGAGGTGAGACTTATGTTTCAGAATAGTCCTCGATTGGGGATGAAATTGGCACTGTTGTCTCAGTTTTAGGAGAATGCCATCGTCAAGAATAAGTCTGCAATTTTGGAGCTTGTTCTTGTTGTCTCTTTGGATCAAATGGTTGTTGCTAATTGATCGTGCTTATTTCTTGTTGCATATGGGAACTAGTGTCTAAATTTGGAACTACAATGACACCCTGATTTGAAGGCTTGTTGGTGATAATGGTGGTAGGATCAAGAGGTATCATGAGAAGGGTGTTAAGGGTCTCATCTTCATTGAAAGTCTCCCCCTAAAGATGAGTTGCTGCAAAGTATGGTTCATTCTCAAAAAATATGACATCCCGAGAGATAAACATTCGGCGTAAGGTAGGTGAATAACACTTATAGCCCTTTTGTATTGGAGACTAGCCAATGAAAGCACAAGTGTGGGCTAGATGATCAAGTTTGGACTGATTTGTTTGGTGATTGTAGACAAAAGCTTTGCAAGCGAAGATTTTGGTTGGAAGATTGGGAACACGAAATAAGGGAAAAGCCTTTTGAAGGATAGTTATAGGTGTTTGGAAGTTTAGAACCTTTGATGGTAGTCAATTTATAAGATAGCAAGCTGTGGGGACAGCTTCTCCCCACAAATATTTTGGGACACCCATGGTGAACATCAGTGCTCGAGCCACAGCAAGGAGATGACGATTTTTCCTCTCGGATATCCCGTTTTGTTGAGGGGTGTCGGGACAAGAACTTTGGTGTATGATGCCTTGGTCAACAAGATGAGGACTTAGGACAGAATTAAAATATTCTCTCCCATTGTCAGTGCGGATAGTATGTATGGTAGAGTTAAACTGGGTTCAAGTCATTTGAATGAAAGTTTTGGAAAACTTTAGGTGTTTCTAATTTTTCTTTAAGAAGGTAAACCCAACAGACCCTAGTGTGGTCATCAATGAAAGTTATGAACCCTAGCTTCTATAATATTTTTTTACTCGACTGGCTCCCTATAAGTCAATTATGAATTAAAGAGAATGGTTGAGACTGGTTATAGGGTTTTACTGGGTATGGTACATGGGTGTGTTTGGACAATTGGCAAATTTCACACTTCAAGGAATTAATACTTTTATTTCGAAATAACAATGGAAGGTGTTTCTTCAAGTACAAGAAGTTTGGATATCCTAGTCTAGGGTGCCATAACATGATTGTGTCCTCTTTCGAATTAGATAGAGCCAACCCTTCTTGTCCATCGTCTTTATTCCAAACATAGAGACCGTCATCAACTTTAGCAGTGCCAATCATCCTCCCCGATTTCTGTTCCTATACCACACAACTAGTTGCAGAAAATTCAGCAAAAACACTTTCATCCTTAATTAGTTTACTGATTGGAAGTAAATTGCAAGATAGGTTTGGGACATGTAGAACTTCATCAAGAGAAAAATTCTTTGTTAATTGTATTTTTCCAACTTCGACCACAGGTGAGTAAGAGCCACAAGCAATGCGGATTCGGGACCAATTACGACAGGGTGAGTAGGTGTGAAACAAGGTAGAGTTACCTGTCATGTGATCGAAGGCACCCGAATCAAGTATCCAAGAAGATTGGTTGTTAGGTTCAAAAGCAATGTTGAGGGCAATACCTTTAGTGGCTAGGGATCCATGAGCAGTAGAAATACCAAGTATCCTACGCAGGGCCTCAAGTTGAGTTTTGGTTAAGCGAACATCGAGAGCTTCATCTGCAACAGTGGAGGTGTTAGAGGACACTAGTGCAACCTTATTGTCCTTCTGATTTTTTCCAAGTTAGCCATGGAGTTTGAAGCATTTTTCCTTGGTATGTCCTACACGGTTGCAGTGGCTACACCATGGCCTGATTGAGCCCGAATCATTTCCAGCACAGGGCCTTTGTGGTTGTGGGCCTTTGGATATAAGGGTTGAGTTTTCAGTGGGACAGTAACTAACAGTTGTCACAGGTTTAGGTTCCCTTTGAATCAACCATCATGACAAGTTGACGCTTCTCTTCTCTTCTAACTTCTGCAAATGTTTCACCAATGGTTGGCAGGGGGTTCTGCCCATAATTCGACCACGGACCTCATCTAGCTCTCGATTCAGTCCTGCTAGAAACTCATAGAGACGTTCATTGTTGAGGTGAGTCATAAACTTGGTGTGTTCCACGCCTTCTCCCCAGTCTGCCTCATAGTACATGTCTAGTTCCTGCCACAAAATTTTCAGATTATTGTAGCAGTGAGTTACTTCAAGTGTTCCTTGCCAAATGTCCTTCAACTTCAGTTTGATCTCAAATACTTGGAAGGCATTTCCAAGATCCGAGTAATTTTCTTTGATTGCATCCCACATATCTTTTGCAGTTTTGAAGAAGAGGTAGGTGTGACTAATATAGCCTTCTATTGAATTAATTAACCAAGCCATTACAATTAAGTTGTTGAGTTCCCAAGTTCCATAAGTTGGGTCTGTTGTGGCTGGTCGTGGGATGTCTCCATTGATATATCCTAGTTTGCCACGACCACAAATCACCATAATAACCGATTGGGACCACTGTAGGAAATTTTTTCCATCTAGTCGACGGTTAGTGATTATAAGAGAGGAATTAAGTTCCCCTTGAGGAGTTCCTTGATTGATATTTGGAATCATTTGTGAGGTTTCAGTCTTAAATAAAGTTTCGACAATGTCACCCATGGGAAGGAATAAAACAGGAGGCAAGAGAGCTTAAAGAGGAGGGACGTTTGGGATGAGAGATTAGAGATTAGAGATGACAGGATCAAAAAATTCTTAAAGCTCTAATGCCATGAACAAACTTAAACAAAAGATTGTTACTTTTTATTAATTAATTTACAGCCTTTATAAGGAGAACTAAGTACAAATAAGGAAACAATCCCTAAAAATCAATAACTTCCTAAGAGTTAGAGACTAAGATTAGATCCTACTATACAAGGTAACTCCTAGGACTGAGGTAAGTATTTTGTCCTTAATCTTAGGAATTCTAACAAAAACACATACCGAGAAGGTTTGTAAAATATAGACGTGATACCTGATCAACTCCATGTTCACTCTGGTTTCAACTTTCAACAATTTTACAACACACACACACAAAAGAAAAAATAGAGAGGCTTTCTAAGCTTACCTGTTTGCACTATCACATAACCCTTCAAGGATGGTCCGCACTTTCTTCTCACCTTTCACAGACGGGGCCAAAACACATGCCTGATAATCAGTTCAAAACAAGCAGTCAGACATGTCAAACAAATGTTGGTGTTCACAAACAATTATGGGAATCGTTTAGTAATTGTTACCAGGAAAGATGGTGGCAAACCATATCTCAGAATGCTCTCTGCAAAGACACGTACAGCACAAAAGTGCATCCAGGAGCTGAAAACCTACAAGCAAGCAAAATATTCAGAATCCAGTTCAAAATATAGAAAGGCTTAAGAATCTCGAAGGATAAGGAAAATATGAGATACCTCTCCATAACTAGCATAGCACCATTGCAAAAGAGAGCTTCGCAAGTTATCTTGGTCTTGTACCAATTTTTCTAGTTCCTGCTTTCGGTTCTCCTGTGCTTCTGGACTATATTCAAAATCACGAACCTGGTATCAAAAGAAATGCACCAACAGGAATATAATACCCTCCAAAAGTGTTATATTTTTAATTTTTAGATTACATCATGCATGGAATGGCAAAAATATATCAGATAGAAAATAAAAATGCAACCATAGAATGCACTCACTTGGAAGCCTCTTTCGCGTGCACTAGTTCTGAAATTGTCCGCAACACGGCCAAATAAGGTGACAGTGTAAAGAGCATATTCATTATCTTCATACAACTTCTTGGAGGACCTAGGGACCTGAAAACGCATTTGTTACACAAAACAACCTCGACATACAAAAAGTTCAATAACTATATATACTAATCTGCTGATACAAGTGAATGTTACAATCAGAATAAGAAATGTTTCTAAATAAGAAGCTAAAACTAACAGCTCTTTCATGAATAAAGCTGCAAACTTTATCCCAAAAATTTTAAACTCCATTTTTCTCATCACTAGTAATAAACAGGAATAGCAAGTCAACATCAAAATATTCAGCTCTTTCAGACTGGTGGGTCAAGGAACAGAATTGGCTGCGATAAGAGGTACAGTTGAGAATTTTTGGAATCTTCGTTCGGGTTCCCAAGCCTAGCATAAAGTGCACACGAAAAGTTCTTCAATTGCAAGTTGTATTACACCACTCAATTATGTTTCTTGACCCTGATTTCCTGTTCCTTGACCTCTAGCATGTGCCCAACCATGGCTTAAAAACAAATGTAGCTATAAATCCAGTATCTATCTAATTAGGCTCTGATAGCAAAATTGGTGTTCACAGACCCGTGTTGTTTAAGGAGAAAATAGCAGTAATCGATAGAATTAAGGCTGGAAAGAAGTTGGAACTCTAGAAAACATAGGATTATAAACACATGTAGTTTCTCCTTATTAATTCAAAGAAAATAATAAGAATAATAATTATAAAGTTGCTGGCTTTCTTGCAAATAAAGTTTTAATCCTAGCTGTCTGTCATATGTCCAATAATCAATACATAAGAAGAATGATAAAATAACATAAGCAATTAAACACTTTAAAAAAAAAAAAAGCTCCTGCATCACATATGCTTGAAAAACATCACAAGACGAACAACGTCTCTGACAGGTAGTATTTGATATTTGATATAACAAGTAGCTATGAGTTGACAGGTAGAGTTAACCAAGAATGATATTCCATTACCACATAGCTAGTCAATGTTTCATAACTTGACAGCCAATCCTTCTGTGAATACTTGGGCACAATTGCAAGGAGAGTCACCAGGTGTTCTGAAGTAATGATATCCTCTGGCTTCACTAGATTAGACAGATCACGAACAGCCAAGCTAAAGTAGGCCAAATTCGATCAGCTATTAATGGCAGAACATTCTGGCATATACAAAATCATAGTAACGCAGTAGTCATACCTTCCACTTTGCTTTCGATTTATGGCATTAAGTTGCCCACGCACATTGTTATACTCAGCAACACGAACCTAACATAACAAACAACACTTAGGACCCAAAGTTTCAATCAACCTATTCGAGTTACAAAGCAGCATGTATAGAAAGGTATACGAACTACCTTGAGATCATCCTCAATCTTTGCCACTTGAGTGTGAATACCATCAACTGTTTCCCTCAAAGGGGACATTGTTGGGTACTTTGCTTCATCCCAAACAAACCTGTCATCAGATCACCAAAAACCAACTTGAATTAAAACACATCGTCCATAATAGTATCCTGTCAGATTCATAATTAATGCCACATCCACTAATTGAGTTTAGCAATTATCTTTTTACCTGGTGAGATAAGAATCAACAGGCACTCCATCAACAGTGAGAGCATTGGTTTCCAAGCCAGATGCCCTCTCCAGTTCCTCGATCTGCCTCCTGATTTTGTGAGAAACTCCTTCGATAAAGGTATTCGACTGTAAATACATCGAAATCACCAAAAGAAAGGAATTAAATGATTAAAACTCAAAACCAAACAAAGGAATTCTCTTAATTTCATTTATTTTTGCTCTAAAAAGTGAACAAATCTAAGAAAAAACAAGAATTGGTGAACAGAAAGTAGAAAGACAAGAAATAGAGAATGGGTTATTGAAGTAAAAAAGAGGGAAATTACTTACTTTCAAGAGATCATCGCTGAGAGCAAGCAGGGAATCGAGAGTTCCAACACGGAGATTGGGTATATTGAACTGCAATAGAAAAAGAGAAAGAAGGATTAGAAAATCAGATCTAATTGGGAAGAGATTAATTGAGAGATAGAAAGAAAGAAAGATACTCGGTAGAGAGGAGTGTCGAAGGAATGCTTGGAGATTTGATCTTGTAACTTGTTCCAAACAGTGGAGGCTGAGTTCTGAACAGGAAGAGACACAACCCAGTATCTGCTGGCCATTGATAGATAACAAAAAGCACAAATTTAATAGAAACAGAGAAGAAGGTCGAACGTCTCTCTGGTCGTGGCCACGGCGATAGGCAATGGTGAGGAACACAGTTCCATAGGGTCGCTCTTATCGTGGCTACGAGTCGCCAAGAGGCAATGATGAATTGAGGAAGGATCATAAAACAAAACAAAAGGATTAATCCACATTTTGCCCCTCTAAGGTTTATATGTTTGCTCAATTTAGTATTTAATATTTTTTGTTAGTGTCCCCTAATATTTATAAAAGTTATCCATTTCACTCTAAAATTTTTAATTTCATTAGAAAGTTTAAAAAAATTGACACATAATATTTTAAATAGTTCGATAAATTATATGATCTAATAAAAGGGTAAAATAGACAAATGGTCCCTCTACTATTAAAAGTTATAAAATGATCCTCTAATATAAGACACTACTTTGTTGAGTCCATGATTATTAAAAAATAGGAAATATTCATTTAAGTATTCATATGTTCCAAACTCATCATTTTCGTTAAAAAAATTGACAATCATCTGAGTTGAATGTCAACCTATTGGTTGGGATATGATGATTTTTTTGAGAAAATTTTAAAAGACGAAAACAAATTATCAATTGAAAAAACAAAGATAATATCTAAAAGGTATACTAGTTTAAAACTTTCAGGAGGTAACTCTCATCTGTCTCTTCTATCCATTCATGTTTACATTTTAATTAATATTCTGGACTCAATCATTAACATAACGATGATTACTATATAATTTATGGGTTAAGTTTGTTTAAGTTTATGCAAGTACTTGTTCTCAAATTTTCTTATATTGATTAGTCACTCAGCTGGTCTTAGTTTTTCTTGATTTGAAGTATTGTATGGTATTGATCTCATTTGAAGACGGTTCAGACGGGAGAAGCACCTTTAAGTGGCCACCAAGATTGCATGCTGGGGTTTAATGATAACTTCCATTGAAGAAGTGTGAGATCTCCCTGCTATTTATGATTATCATACAATTATTTTATCGTGTACCGTAAATTATGTTGTATTGTGAGAGTCTGCAAGTACTAGGAATGCTCATGTGCAGCAGCTAGCTGCCAAGCTTATGAAGCATCATCTTCTTCCATTTTATTGTCATGTCACATTTACAAACCCAAATTGGTAAAATTTCTCCAAGGAATTTCTCTACTTTTAGGAAAATGGAATAATTTTCAGATATTTTAATTATTTTTATTCATTTTGTAAAAATTTAAAAATTACTTTTAAGAAATCTAAAATGTTATTAATAAATAATATTTATTAAAAAGTTAATTAAAAAATATAAGTGTCCAAATTATATATTTTTTATTTATGTTAGTTGTTTCAATTTTTTCCAACGGAGATGTTTGACATTTTTAATATTATTATTTTAAGCGAATAGCCATCGAATGAAACTACAGACGATAATTACCGATGGATAATAACCCACGACAAGCACCGACTACGAATGACAGCGATTGACCAAGAGTCTAGAGAAAAGCCAAAACTTCTCTCTCTTCATTCTATTGAAGGAAGGCGCAAATGAAGCATAAAACCGGATTTTTGGGTTTAAATACTCAGCTCGGTAGGTTGGTTCAACCAGGGATAAACTCACGTGTTTTGCAGCCTCCGGGATAATCCTCTAGGGTTTCAAAATAAATTCAATTTGATCCCTATTCCATATAATTTAATTTTAGTTCTTGTAGTTGTGCCTTCTGATTTCATTTTTAATGTAATTTAGTGCCTAATTCTAAATGACTTTAATTCATTAGTTTTTAGGGTAAAATACAAAAATGGTCACTGATTATAGGGTATGGATTTATTAAGTTTTTCGACTATTAAAAGTTACAAAACGGTCACTCAACTATTTCTTATATTTCAAACTCATCCTTTTCTTTTAAAAAAATTGACGATTGTCTAAGTTGTATGTTAACATGGTGGCTTAGATATGATAGTCGTATTAGATTCTTGGATCATATTTTATTATATCACAGCCAGTAGGTTAACGTTCAACTCAGAATACTATCAATTTTTTAACGAAAAATGATGAGTTTGAAACATAATGAATACTCAGGTGACCATTTTGTAACTTTTAATAGCCAAGAGACTCAACAAAAGCAACATTCTATAGTCGAATGACCATTTTGTAACTTTTAATAGTCAATAAACTTAATAAAATAATATACTATAATCGGGGATCATTTGTATTATTTACCGTAGTTTTTAGTTTTGCCCTTTAATTTTATACTATTTATATTTTAATCCATATTAGCTAATTAAATTTATTATTGCTTTGCAATTTAACATGTTATTTATTATATCTTTTTATTATTTATATCTTTTTATTAATATATTCTCAAAAAGTAAGTCAACGGGTCTTTTCTTTAAATTTTTGCTTCAAATTTTTATTTTTTACTATTAAGGCAACCTATAATTATGTTGGTACCGATTTTGAAAGTTATGGAATGCACATCCTTCCTCAAATGTAATCTACATATAGATCCAGTAAAAATAAAATATTTAGATATTCAATTTGTAACTTAACCCAAATGGTTAGTGATGATTCCAAAGGTAAGTTTTTTTTACTTAAGTTGAGATTCGATCCAAATTTTCAAGGATTGTTTCGACATGTAAGAGAACGACTTCCAAAATCTCTTGCCTAGTAAATTATTTTAAATCCTCCGGACAATTAATAAATCTTGATGTTAAGTCATCCGAGTTATTTGTAAGTCTTTCGAACAAGATGATAAGTCATTTAGATCATATATAAGATCTCTAGGCAAGATGTTTTATCAAGAATGAATGAATGAATAGTCATCCTCAAAAGGAACGGTGTTATCTGTAATTTGACCTATTCAAAAAGAGAAGCCAATCATCCGGACGCGCTCAGGCCAGTGACGAATCTTAAAATTAAAAAGTGGGGATCCAAAATTATAATACTCTATTTTATAAATAAAAATGAGTATGCATTTTTTTTTATTTTTTTCTATTTCCATTAACAAAATAAACTAACTTTAATTTTCCCTCAATAATAGGTGTGCAAGTGCTCCTGTGGATCCACCACAGACTCAGACGTCCTTAAAAGAATTAAAGTAGATTAACTAAATAATAATCCTATATAAAAATGAGAAACCTGAAATTAATTGAATTCCAACCAGAATGTATCCCTCGCGATTCTTATGCATATAATAGCTCACAAACCACAGGGGCTTCTTCTTCGAGCTACCATTTCGATGATACAGAAAACAAAAGCTCCTTTCATTGTCAACTCATGAGTCAAGTCTAGTCTAGGATTTCCACAATCACGTGTCATCCATAACTCACTTCCCTCACATCTAACGCAATGCCGTATTCATTTCACCACTCACCAACATTTAACAAGTTAACAGAACAACAATAATAATCATAACCATAACGGGAACTAAATTTTCAAAAGAGAAAATAATCTCAGTGACCAAAAATCCCATATAATATACGATTTTAACCAATTTTTTTTGGATTTGCCAAAATGACCAACAAAATCGCAATGCGATCGCTAATTCGCAACGCGATCTCCATTATCGCAAATTCGCGTTGTATTTTCGCAATGCGATAGTTGAAAATCGCGTTGCGATGGTCTACAGTATCGTTGCGATTTTCCCAATTCGCAATGCGAATAAGTAAATCGCAACGCGAATTGGGAAAATCGCAATGCGAATAAGTAAATCGCAACGCGAATTGGGAAAATCGCAATGCGATACTTACTATCGCAATGCGATAATACAAAATCGCAACGAGATACTTACTTTCGCAACGCGATACTGACTTTCGCAACGCGATTTACATAATCGCAATGCGATTTTCAAAGCGCCATTAGTATCCTGGCCAAGTATTTTATTTTTAAATTCCAAACATGAATATTAATATATTGGAACACTGAACTGTCCACAGTATATCCCGTAATCGCAACTCATAACCTAAAACCTAAAATCACAACTCAGTCTCATCTCCATCTCTCACTCTCTCACCCATCTCCGACGAAATCCGTCCCCATCTCCGGCGAAATCCGTCTATCTAAATCTCTCAGAGCCACCCTCACAATCAGAAATGGAAAATCAACCAAATCAACCAACGAGGGTTAGTTTTTTTAATTATTTTCTTTTTAAAATTTTTGCATTATTATTAGGTTTTTCATATTGAAATTGATGATAAGTTTACTGGTAATTTCAATAATAGATTAACCATTTCACTTAGATTGCTTATTAAATCAACCAAGAATCGCAACGCGAAATGCAAATCGCAACGCGATTTTAGTTTTGCGTTGCGATTCTCTCGTTGCGATTCTCTCGTTGCGATAGTCATTTTCGTGTTGCGATTACTTCACAGTGTTGCATATTTAAGTTTGAAGAATAAACTACTACTATTTATGTTTATTATTGTTTTTGGTATATCTTCACAGTGTAGTTTTTGGTATATCTAATTTAGTATGTTTATTGTTTTTGTAGAACTTTTATTCGGCTCAATTGACCTTGAGAAATAAAGTCAGCCTGGCCAAAACAATTGCGTCGAAGCTTTCACCTGCACAAAGAAAAATGTTTGAGGATACATGCTTCGGGCCATGGCTGAAAGTACAACATCTCGGTGGAGATGCGATGTTGACACACCTGTTTCTTCAAACCATGACTAGAGATCTACCAGAGACTATACAACGTCGTGATGAAGAGATATGGTTTGATTTTCCACCGGCGTATACGTGTTTTGGGCGGGAGGAGTTTTGCTTAATCACCGGTCTACGCTTCGGACACGATGATGTAGGTCGGTACACTAGACACATTACCCGCCCATCATGGCTATCCCGGGTTTTTCCTGAGCTGGAGAGGCCGAGTCTACACGTAGAAGACCTGACAAGATTTTTGAATAATAAAGATGGTTTTACTCGGATGGATGACGTCAACGTTGTCCGAGTATGCCTTCTAATTCTTTTGCATGCCGGCTTTTTAGGCAGAGAGGCCAGACAACCTATTCCAAATGATCTAATCAAATTGGTAGAAGACCTAAATGCGTGGA